GTGTTCCCCGAAGGCTTTCCAAACCGATTCGGGGAACACGTGGTCCGATAGCTTGGCAGGTCTGGCCTCAACGTTCGGCCACATAGGCGCTTCCAAAAAGGCAGGGGGCGGCGGTGATTCGCCGTAGGCGTCTTCGATATTAAGGTCAGTGGGTGGAGCATTGTTTGGGCTTTTCGCCCAACACATCCTCAGAATTTCCCTGGTTTGGCACCTGGTTCGGCGGGGCGCCCCGCCTGGGACATCCTCAACATTAGCCTGGTTTGGCCACTGGTGTGGCCTGAGCTGGGCCGGTTTCGCCAGCTATACTGTGCTTGGTTTGGATTGGCTTCGGCGCGGTTTCGCTTGAGCCTGGTTTTGCATGGCTTCGACGCAGTTTCGCCTGAGGCGCCCTCACAATTCGCATAGTTTGGTTTGGTGATGGTGCGATTTCGCGTGAAGCCTGCTCACGATTCCCCTGGTTGTGGTGCAAACCCAAATCGCCGCAAGCTATGTGACGCAAGGTATGTGGTGTAAACTATGTGGTAGAAGCTGTGCTGACCAAGCTGTAACCCACATAGTCGCAAGTGAGGCGGCGTAAGCTATGTGATGCAAGGTATGTGGTGAAAGTTATGGTGCAAGCCCACGTCGTCGCAAGTTATAAGGTGCAATACATATGCTACAACGCATACGGTGGAAGCTGCGTGGTGCAAGCCATGTGAATAAACCCGCATCTTCTCGCGGCATTGGCCCAGTGTTTGGCGTTAGGAGAAATCTCTCCCGAACGTGTAGACCAGTCCACCATAGGGGTATCCTGCCACGCATGACTCAAGACGACACCTTGGAAGCACAGTGCTCTCCCGCCCGCCGCCGACGACGCCGCCGCCGCCGCTATCGCCGTCGTCGTCGTCGTCGTCGTCGTCGTCGTCGTCGTCGTCGTCGTCGTCGGTCGTCCGTCGTCGGTCGTCCGTCGCGGTCGTCCGCCCTTGCCGCCGTCACTGGCCGTTGGGGCTCACGCCGCCCCCATCGCTGCCCCCGGATCGGCGGGCGCGCGGCGAGAGCACGGAGGCGCCGGCGGGGTTGCCTGGCAGCGATCCGGGGGGGCGACCGGCGTCGAGGAAGACACGGGCGGAGCGGACGGCGGCGCGGCGGCGGGCGCTATACCGGCGGCAGACCACGGCCTGGCTGCCGCCAAGTCGGCGGTCCAGACGCTGCGCAGCGAGCCGAATGCAGTGCGGAACAGCTGCGCGGCCATCGCGGGGGAGCCGGAGCTGGCTGACCGCGTCGCGGCGCTCGTCCCAGCCCTCTGGGCCCTGCTGCGGGGCATAGCCCCGTCGGTGGAGGCCCTGAGGAGGAACGTGGCGCTGCAAGCGGACGGCAGAGGGGCAGCGCATAGCCTCGGCGAACCGCACGCTGCTGCGCAGGCTGCCGAAGGAGGACCGCTTGGAAGTGCGCCAGGAGCGCCGCGAAAGGTGCTGCCCGTGGACGTCGGCTGGTGCTGGAGCCTGGCGCCCCCCCCCTTCTTCGATCGGTCGACGGCGACGGCGACGACGACGACGACGACGGCGACGGCGACAACGACGGCGACGGCGACGGCGACAACGACGACGGCGACGGCGACAACGACGACGACGGCGACGGCGACGACGACGACGACGACGACGACGGCGACGACGACGACGACGGCGACGGCGACGACGGCGACGACGACGACCTTCGTGCAGGGCGCGGCCGAGCACGTCTTGCCAGAGGAGGGCGTGGAGAGACGCCGGACGAGCTGCTGGAGGCGCCCGGGCCCGCGGAGGCGGGCCCCCGTGCGAGGAGCACGGCGCGGAGCAGACGGAGGACGAGGACCCCGGAGAGGAGGGCGGCGGGGAGGGCAGCGCCAGAGGGGAGTCCCAGGAGCAGCGATCGCGGATCCCCTCCTCCTCCTCCTCATGCTCCTCCTCCTCCTCAAGCTCCTCCTCCTCCTCCTCCTCCTCCTCCTCCTCGTGCTCCTCCTGCTCCTCCTGCTCCTCCTGCTCCTCCTGCTCCTCCTGCTCCTCCTGCTCCTCCTGCTCCTCCTGCTCCTGCTCCTGCTCCTGCTCCTGCTCCTGCTCCTGCTCCTGCTCCTCCTCCTCCTCCTCCTCCTCCTCCTCCTCCTCCTGCTGCTCCTGCTGCTCCTCCTCCTTCTTCTCCTCCTCGGATGACAGCTTCGACGGCTTCGGGGAGTTGGGAAGATGCGTGGACGAGGGCCTGGATCAGGAAGGCGTCCCGTCGGAAGGCGGCCTGGAGGACGAGGACCTCGAGTCGGAGGTCGAGGGCAGCGACGGCGTGGGGGTGGAGGGGCCTGCCCGCCGAGCTCGGGACGGAGCGCCGAGGCCGCGCCGCCGCGGGTGCAGCCGTGCGCCCGACGGCGGCCTCTACAGTGGGAGCTCGACCACGTGAAACCCTCCACAAAAGAACCCGACCCTGAGATCCCAGGGCGTCCATCCGGTCTCGTCACGCTTCCCATCGCAGAACCATCGGAGCCCAAGAAACCCAGGGCACCCTGGAGGCAAGCAGGGTGTGGTTTTGTTTGCATGGGCTTCCACTTGCAGGACGGGGCGGCGTTCTGTGGAGCACCTCGGGGAGGAGGGCCCTGGCTTGCCGTCGCTCGGACGTCCATTTCCCGTGCATTGTTCGGTTTCGTGCGTGTGTGTTTTTTTGCCCGATAATCCAGAATGGTCCTCGATGGTCACACGTCCGAGCGATGCCACGTTGGCGACGCGGCGCGGGAGCGCCGAGCAACAGGTGGAGAGGGGGGCCGCCTGCGAGGCAGGCCGGCCAGGCGGAGGAGGACGAGGCCGGCAACGCGCGGCTGCCACGCGCGGAGCGCCCGCCGCGAGCGGAGCGCTCGCGGCACCATCAGAAAGCGTCGTCGTCGTCGTCCTCGTCCTCGTCGTCGTCCTCGTCGCCGTCGCCGTCGCCGTCGCCGTCGCCGTCGCCGTCGCCATCGCCCATCACCCATCGTCCTCGTCGTCATCGTCGTCGTCGTCGTCGTCGTCGTCGTCCTGGTCCCGTCGATCGCCGCCGCCCTCGCCCCGGCGGCGCGCCCGCGAAAAAGGCGGAGGATCAGCGGTGAGCCTGGGGGGGAAGTGCGGAGGCGAGAGGCCTTCTTCAGAGGGCAGCAGGGCTCTCGCCATCGCTCGGACGTCCATTCCCTGTGTTTTTTTCGGTTTCGTGCGTGGCTTTTTCGCCAAATGATCAAGGATGCTCCTCGATTGTCCTCGCCGAAAGAAAAATCCACACGTCCGAGCGATGCCAAGGGCTTCTCAGAAACCCCATCAGGCCTTCGGAGCAGTCTCCGCAGCCTTCTCCGGAAGGCAGAGGACGGCTTCTCAGAGGGCGGGAGGGGGCTTCTGAGAGGCCCCGCCGCTTTTTCCGAGGAGGCCTGCCCCCTCTCACTTCCCTCCCAGGCGTGCGGCCTGGAGCGGGGACATCGAACAGGTGGATCATCAAGCAGCATGGGCGTAAGCTTGCGAAGCTCCGCGTGGATTGCGTGGGTGCGGAGCGCGCCAGGGGTAGCGATTCAGGCGCGGCCAGGGGGAGGCCCAGCGCCGGACCCAAGAATCCGCGCGGACCTGCGCCAACTCATGCGAACGTTTTCTTAGTCGGCGTTTCGACATTGGTCGGGAGGGGGGGGGGGAAGGGGGGGGGTCTGGCTCTGGACCTCTGCCTAATTAGGGCGACGGTTTGGGACGGTGCGTCCTATGGGGGAGGCCCCTGCTGCTCAAAACAGGCGCCAAAAAACAGCCAAGATCCACTCCAGAGGGGGGGGGGAAGGTGTGCGAGGGCCGGCGCCGAGCGACAAAACAATGAATAAGAAAACGATCGCCAGCCTCCTCGCGCTCCTGCTCGGTGCAAGGAGCCCTTCCTCATCCTCCTCCTCGGACATCATCCCGGGACATCCGATGCTGTGAACGCGATCTACCGTCGCTTGACTGGACCTTCCCCCCTCGCCGTTCTGGGAGAACGGGGGGGTGAGGGGTAAAACCCCCCCTCCCTTCCCTGGGAAACGGGGGGGAGAAGACGGAGCTCCCCTCCTCCCGAGAAACCAAAATGGGGGGGACATGGGGGGTGGCAGAATCCCCCCTCCGTCCCCGGTTCGAACCGGAGGGAAGGAAAAGGGGCTCGGCTCGAACGGGCCTTGATCGAATCCTGACGCTCGGACTGGATCCAACTCTTCTGCAAACCTACTATGGCTCGATCAAGCTCTAATAGATTCCTACAAAGGCTGGTCTAGATCTGTAAGAAAAAATGAATGCTACTAGGACCCGGTCCAACTTTACTAGGTATCTACGATGGGCTGGATCCAACTCATATATATATATATATATATATATATAGATTGTGAATAACTGCAAATATGGGAAAACATAATAGTGTTCGATCCAACTCTGATAGGGTCCTGGTACGGACAAAATGCAACTCCCATGCAATTATGTTAGGGATGGGTTCCGCCTGAACGGAAACCTACTAGGCCTCGACCCAGTTTAAACAAAATCTATTAAAAAAAAGCTAAATCCAGCTCGATTCGACTCCTACTCGCTCTGGATCCAGCCGTAATAGGATCCCCCCCCTCTGGTCCGAAGCCGGAGTGGGGGGGGTGGCATCTCAATCCCTCCGCCCCCCCCCCAGATCGGAATGGAAGGCCCCCCTCCCCCGGCTCGAACCGGGTAGGGAGGGGCTTGCGAGTAGCGGAAGACAATGCTGATTCTGATGTCTTTACATGCGCGGGCCCCTCGACCCATTCCTTGGGGGCAGCTTTCTGTCCCTGCCGCTGGATCCACCACTGATGGCCCAGGGGTTGCCCGAACACAAAAAACACCACGACCAAAGCAAACAGCACGAGGACGGAGATCCAGGATCTGGGCCTCCGAACTGCCCCACGGCCAAGCATTGGGCGCGTTCTGGCTGGACTCTCTAGGAAGAAACACATCGCTTTCGAGGGCCTTCGTCATCGTCGTCGTCGTCGTGGGCGTCGTAACGTCGTCCTGGACGTC